ATGATTGGGACAAAATAGTCAAATTTTGTCAGTCAAATCTGAAAATTTACTAAAATTTTGTTTGTTGGCAACAAAATTAGGGTTCATTTCCCAGAAAAATTCAGAAAATTTTAGACGAGAAAGTCTGGTGATAAAATAAAGTACCGTAAAATCTGTATTAGAAGCCGCATCTCTAATAAAAGTCGCACCCATTCTTATTGAACAATTGAGAAACAAACATTCACCATTTCTCATATGTGTAGATGCTCCAATAAAAGCCGCATCCCCTTTATTGCATTGTACCATTTTAATAGAAGCCACAGCTTCTAATACAGATTTTACAGTACTATTTAATTTAAAAGAACTGTATCACCATACTTTGTTACCGGTACATTTAATGTCCTCAGAACATATAAGAATATCCTAAGAAGAAGATTTCATTGAAACTTGGGGCAATGCACAGAAATAATTATTTTTGAGTTAAAATTCATGCATAATAGTTAATTTTCGACTTTCTCCACATTATTTACAGACATGATTAGTTTAATGTTGAAAACCATGCATATTAATTGAACTTGTGGGCTCTGGAATAAATCAAACCATACACAGAGGCTTGTCAACTGACAGTGAATCCCCGAGTGCTGCGAGAATGAAGGACACTCCTCAGCTTCGATGACGTCACAGCTAAACATTATTTGAATTTTAGGCATTGATACACAGTTTAACTTTGAAAAAAAATCGCACACACTGAATGAATTATAATGTCAACATATTTAAATCAAAACCATGATCAGATCAAGCAAATATTACTGTGAAATCTGTATTAAAATGGTACAATACAACACAGGAATGTGGCTTCTATTAGAGTATCTACACATATGAGAAATGTTGAATTTTTGGTTCTCAATTGTTCAAAAGAATGGGTGCAACTTCTATTATGGATGCAGCATCTAATACAGATTTTACGATACCCATTTTCTAGGTTGGAAAATGTTCGAAGCGTTTCCTCTCCACGTAAGCTACCATCACAGCTGTTTGGCTGAAATAATGACAACTTTAATTCAAAAATTGGTGTACCGGTACTATGGCTGCCAGTTCGAGAATGACATACATTGCTGCAAATTGTGGCAAGTTTACTACATGATTGTTGGCTGAGGGAAAGACATGTCGTGACCCAAATCTAGGCGATTAGGCGCTGTGCACAAGTGTTGGTTTGAGTCGCGCACACAGTACATGTTTACTTTGATCTGATGAAGTATTTACCATGCCACTTATTCAGTGTTATCATGGAACTAAAAAAAAAAACAATTCCATGTTATTTACTTGCTTTATTTTATATGTCAGCAGCTGTTATGAATTCACAATTATATTTCCGTATTTATGCATGGTTATAATGCTGCGACTTTAATTTTGATTTTCACGATCATAGTACATACTGATTTGAGTGCCTTTGCCCTGATGTCTGGTGGATCGGCGAGGACGGTTTCATGTTCTCTACACGTAATAAGCGCGATTATTAAGCGTCTTTTTTTGGGGGGATGCTCAGTGGCTGAGAGAAAGACATGCACGCGAGGTTAAGCTAGGCGATTAGGTGCCGTATGCGAGTGTTGGTTCGAATCACGCATGCAGTGTACGTTTACCATGCCATGTATTCGATTCAGTGTATTTGCCGACTGTATTTTCACAAATAACAGTAGCTTGGGGAATCTTAGCACACGCCCACTATTTCCACCAATCAGCATCAAGTAAATTTTTTTGTTTGCCATTGACCTATAGAGGGAACCCTTCAAAAATGTATTCCAACCCAGAAAATGGCTAACGGCTGATATTTGCACGATTTAATCATGGTTTTGATTTAAATGCGTCGACAATATAATTTATTCAGTGTGTGTCACTGCCTAAAATTTAGATAATCTTTAGCTGTGACGTAATCGGGGCTACTCACACTCGGGGATTCGCCGTCAGTTGACAAGCCATACAAAAGAAATTGTTTAGCCTTTTCACCACCAGTTCCCTTTTTTCATCACAAATTCACAAAAAAGTCTTGTTATAGTCTGCACTTCAGAAGATAGGACAAAAAACTGAAAATTTACTAATGGTAATTTTTTTTTGTTCGCTCCCAGAAAAAAAAAGAATAAGAATTTGGTGGTGAAAAGGTCAACATGTAATGCTCACTCAGCTACAGAAACAACTTTTAGTTTTGTTCAAATCAGAGTATCAAGGTTTATGTAGGCAAAAAACAATTCGCTGCACGTTTCCTAACTGCGCCCTCACATCAGGGCAATAATTTCCTGTATCACACCATGGTTTTTCATCAATCAAAATGACGTTGTGTTTGAGGTCATGCCATGGTAAAATTGTATTTACAACTACATGTAAAAGGTATATGACCGCAAAAGCAATATCTGGTCCATAAAGATTTAATTCAGGCAAATGTTAATATAGTGTGGTGGGAATGTCACAATTACAATATTTTCACTTTTGCATGTTACTCACAATATGTTTTCTATTCAATTATTAGCATTGTTACCACAGCCTCGTATAAAAGAATTATCAAAAATATATGGATCACCGAGGATGGCACCTATTACAGACATCATGCTTGTAACCCCACCACTAGAGGGCAGGTTACCTATATCTGAGAAAACTTGGATGCCTCACTAGAGGTTAATGAACTTTACAATGGAATAATAAGTGTAAATGAATCTTCGCATGAATATGTATTTGAAATTGTTGTGATTATTATATGTATTACTGAAAATGTAAAAGATTTATTTATACAGTCTTTAATCGATGCATATTAATTACCTAATTTTTAGTTGTTCCACTGATATCTACTAAAGAACTGAGTAGAATTCTGGGACAAGGTGCAGACCTGACAAGTTTTGGGTAAAAATACATGCATATTGGTTACCGGTAGACAATTTTCCACTGATATCTCAAGCACTAATCATCACATTACAATGAACAGACCTGTTTTGGGGTTAATATCTGCGGATGCTCTAGGACAATGGACATACCTTTAGTTTTGATTTAAATCTGAGCATATTAAGTACTTGTCTTTTTTCAATGAATCTTGGTACATAAATACAATTAAACTGTAGTGTGTGTGGGTAACAACATTGTGATGACTTCAATTTAACTTTACACCGACTTGTGACTATGTTAGAATTTAAGTAAATAGGGAAGTTATGGTTCAATTTATATTAATCGTTGTATTGCCTTATAATTGAGTTTAATTAAACTCTAAATCACAACTATATTTAATCCAATGTGTGTTGTCACAATGATGGTACATGTATGTTTTTTTTTTTTTTTTTTTAATGAAACTTGATGCATAGCTGTTCTACTTATTGGATTTTCTGGTGATATTTCAATGAAACGTGGTGCAGACCTGATTAGTTTTGGGTTGAAATCCAGGGATTATTAATGAATCCTTATGCACAAACTAGAATGTTTTGATTTTTTTAAATCGTTGGTACATGGATGCTCTGGGAATAATGCACAAACCTGATTAGTTTTTATGTTACAGAGGACCATATAAATTGTAAAACCGTCCTGATCATTGCTTGCAATTATATTTTTAAATACAATATTGGTACTTCATGCCTCCAGCACACAAGAGTTCTTTCTAAGCTTTCTTCACATAATTTAGTTTGGGGTTGAAATTTATGTATACTAATTGTCAAATTTGCATAATCATCTCAACAGAGGCTGCTTGTTTATTAGAATACTGTAAAAGGACTGTAGGTCTGAATGTGGCATTTTTTGTTCATGAGAAGTGAATGACTTCTATAACAGTACCGGTATTTGGTTTGCATATCGGGGAGTAGGCTTGGTAAGTTACCACTTATTCCTGAGTGTAGTTAAGATGAAGACTGAGGAATAGATAGTGTTCTGTAATTGTCAATAAAAAAAATGTTTTCCCACCACAAGAATTCTTATCAGTGAAATATTTTTTTTATCATGTTAAATGATATTGGGGATAATAAATCCAGTGATTCCCTACGAATACACATTGAGTATTCTAAAATTCTCTTTCATTCTTATATATGAACTTTGAATCACAATTTTGCAAGATTAGTATAACCAGTTTTGATCAAATAAAACTGAATTGCGAAAGCAAGGTTCTTTTAGCTAAAGATGCCACCACTTTTTAAAAAAAAAAAAACATGTTTATGAACATTACCAGAATATGCAAAAATCAAACTTTTTATTTGAGGAGGTCAGCCAGTGAAAGTACAGACTGGCATGTTGCAACTACTAGGAAACTTATGATTATCATAAATAGAAATTATAAACAGTGTGATAGTAATGTTATGGAAGATGAAATACATTTTCTGATAGAGTGCTCTAAATTTTACATCAAGACAAATTTCCCAAATTTATGTACATACTTGTTATTACTACCGGTACATGCTGATAGAAGCAACAATAAGTTTTTTGTCAAAATCTGTGCATATTACTAATATTACACACTGCCTGAAAACACAGGAAATTTCCCCATTGAGCAAAAAGCCAATTGGCATGTTATTCTTGCATGATCAAGGTGGTGTTTACTTTCCCCACACTACTGAACAAAATAATGTTTTTGAACGTCCTGGATTTGAATCCCAGATGGGCATGAGAAAAACCTCATTTTGAAAAATTTTCATTGTTTAGAGCAAAGGTGCTAGGAGGAAATAGGAACTGTTAAAATAATAGAGACAAGCGAAAAAGTAGTACTGTAAAATCTGTATTAGACACCGCGGCTTCTATTCAGAGGGAATGCAGCTTCTATTAGAGCATCCGCACATATGGGAAATGATGATTTTTTGGATCTCAATTATTCAAAAAATAATGGGCGCGACTTCTATTGGAATGCGGCAGTACAATCATTAACACACTACGTTTGGTGATAACAAGAAATTCTTTCCTGATAACTCAAAACATTATATTATTTGTATTTACAGCAAAGAAGATCATAAACATAGCCTGATTTAAAAAAAAAGAACTGAGCCAGGATATCCTGCCATATTCAATAGTGAAACAATCAGATTACATTTATTTAATCTAGATATGCTTTTGTTTTATCAAAAGCATGAATTGGTGGGTTATAGCGACAAAAGTATAAACACTTGAGGATGTGGTTGTTGAAAATGACACAGAAGAAATTGATCTTGTGAGGCGGCGTAATATAAAACCGTGTACAAAGCGACCATCTACAACATGGCCAGATTCCTGGAAGTAGCAAGGTCCATGGCTTTTTAAAGCAATGATCAGAACATTGTGTATTCACACACCTATCCTGAATAAATAAATAATAAGCCCAAAGTCCGCTGGGCGGCCATTATGTAAATTCCCTCATTTTGATTCCTGTTCATTAAAGGTTCTTCCATTGTGGTAGCAGATAACCTTATTGGTTATATCACAAATACTGTATCTTGCTGTGTGTGATCATGGTTTGATAGTAATGTAAACTGTCTTCATCATTGTCCGTAAGTACATCTGCAAAGACATATTAGTATTATCACAGGTTTGGCTTACTCTTTTCCATTCACCTGAATTCAGTTTATCATACATATACTGTGAAAAGGTTCTATTATTCATATTTATTGTATTTTTGACTTGTTTATGTAAACACTTTAGAAAAATTTACAAATGAAGCTAAAATCGTACCTTGGTCTTCAATGTTAGTATGTTTAAATGGTGGTGTAGAACTCAGTTGGTATGAGGTTGCAATACTGGTGCCAGGACTAGTCAACTTCAGTCTCCATGTTGAGGGATGTATGCTGTAAATTAATGTAATGACTAATATTCAATGAAATGACTAGCGGCTGGGCTCTTGGATAACACCAGAATAGTGGCCAGTTTTAAAGGCAGTGGTTCATACAGCTGGACTCTCTAATAACGCAGGAATAGTGGCCAAATTTAAAGGCCATGTTTCATACAGCTGGGTTCTTAGATAACGCAAGAATAGTGGCCAGTTTTAAAGACCATGGTTCATACAGCTGGGTTCTTAGATAACGCAAGAATAGTGGCAAGTTTTAAAGGCCATGGTTCATACAGCTGGGTTCTTGGATAACGCAAGAATAGTGGCCAGTTTTAAAGACCATGGTTCATACAGCTGGGCTCTCGAATAACGCAGGAATAGTGGGCCAGTTTTAAAGGCAGTGGTTCATACAGCTGGGCTCTCAAATAACGCAGCAATAGTGGCCAGTTTTAAAGGCAGTGGTTCATACAGCTGGGCTCTCAAATAATGCAGCAATAGTGGCCAGTTTTAAAGGCAGTGGTTCATACAGCTGGGTTCTTAGATAACGCAAGAATAGTGGCCAGTTTTAAAGGCAGTGGTTCATACAGTTGGGCTCTCAAATAACGCAGCAATAGTGGCCAGTTTTAAAGGCAGTGGTTCATACAGCTGGGTTCTCAAATAATGCAGCAATAGTGGCCAGTTTTAAAGGCAGTGGTTCATACAGCTGGGTTCTTGAATAACGCAGGAATAGTGGCCAATTTCAAAGGCAGAGGTTCATACAGCTGGGTTCTTAGATAACGCAAGAATAGTGGCCAGTTTTAAAGGCAGTGGTTCATACAGCTGGGCTCTCAAATAACGCAGCAATAGTGGCCAGTTTTATAGGCAGTGGTTCATACAGCTGGGCTCTCAAATAACGCAGCAATAGTGGCCAAATTTAAAGGCCATGGTTCATACAGCTAGGCTCTCAAATAACGCAGCAATAGTGGCCAGTTTTATAGGCAGTGGTTCATACAACTGGGCTCTCTAATAACGCAGGAATAGTGGCCAAATTTAAAGGCCATGTTTCATACAGCTGGGTTCTTAGATAATGCAAGAATAGTGGCCAGTTTTAAAGACCATGGTTCATACAGCTGGGCTCTTGAATAACGCAAGAATAGTGGCCAGTTTTATAGGCAGTGGTTCATACAGCTGGGCTCTCTAATAACGCAGGAATAGTGGCCAAATTTAAAGGCCATGGTTCATACAGCTGGGTTCTTGGATAACGCAAGAATAGTGGCCAGTTTTAAAGGCAGTGGTTCATACAGCTGGGCTCTCAAATAACGCAGGAATAGTGGCCAGTTTTAAAGGCAGTGGTTCATACAGCTGGGCTCTCGAATAACACAGGAATAGTGGCCAGTTTTATAGGCAGTGGTTCATACAGCTGGACTCTCTAATAACGCAGGAATAGTGGCCAAATTTAAAGACCATGGTTCATACAGCTGGGCTCTTGAATAACGCAGGAATAGTGGCCAAATTTAAAGGCCATGGTTCATACAGCTGGGTTCTTAGATAACGCAAGAATAGTGGCCAGTTTTATAGGCAGTGGTTCATACAGCTGGGCTCTCGAATAACGCAGGAATAGTGGCCAAATTTAAAGGCCATGGTTCATACAGCTGGGTTCTTAGATAACGCAAGAATAGTGGCCAGTTTTAAAGGCCATGGTTCATACAGCTGGGTTCTTGGATAACGCAGGAATAGTGGCCAGTTTTAAAGGCAGTGGTTCATACAGCTGGGCTCTCAAATAACGCAGCAATAGTGGCCAGTTTTAAAGGCAGTGGTTCATACAGCTGGGTTCTTAGATAACGTAAGAATAGTGGCCAGTTTTAAAGGCAGTGGTTCATACAGCTGGGTTCTTGAATAACACAGGAATAGTGGCCAAATTTAAAGACCATGGTTCATACAGCTGGGCTCTTGAATAACGCAGGAATAGTGGCCAAATTTAAAGGCCATGTTTCATACAGCTGGGCTCTCGAATAACGCAAGACCATGGTTCATACAGCTGGGTTCTTAGATAACGCAAGAATAGTGGCCAGTTTTAAAGGCCATGGTTCATACAGCTGGGTTCTTGGATAACGCAGGAATAGTGGCCAGTTTTAAAGGCAGTGGTTCATACAGCTGGGCTCTCAAATAACGCAGCAATAGTGGCCAGTTTTAAAGGCAGTGGTTCATACAGCTGGGTTCTTAGATAACGTAAGAATAGTGGCCAGTTTTAAAGGCAGTGGTTCATACAGCTGGGTTCTTGAATAACACAGGAATAGTGGCCAAATTTAAAGACCATGGTTCATACAGCTGGGCTCTTGAATAACGCAGGAATAGTGGCCAAATTTAAAGGCCATGTTTCATACAGCTGGGCTCTCGAATAACGCAAGAATAGTGGCCAGTTTTAAAGACCATGGTTCATACAGCTGGGCTCTCTAATAACGCAGGAATAGTGGCCAAATTTAAAGGCCATGGTTCATACAGCTGGGTTCTTGGATAATGCAAGAATAGTGGCAAGTTTTAAAGGCAGTGGTTCATACAGCTGGGCTCTCTAATAACGCAAGAATAGTGGCCAGTTTTAAAGATCATGGTTCATACAGCTGGGCTCTTGAATAACGCAGGAATAGTGGCCAATTTCAAAGGCAGAGGTTCATACAGCTGGGTTCTTGGATAACGCAAGAATAGTGGCCAGTTTTAAAGGCAGTTTTTTCATACAGCTGGGCTCTCAAATAACGCAAAAATAGTGGCCAGTTTTAAAGATCATGGTTCATACAGCTGGGCTCTTGAATAACGCAGGAATAGTGGCCAATTTCAAAGGCAGAGGTTCATACAGCTGGGTTCTTGGATAACGCAAGAATAGTGGCCAGTTTTAAAGGCAGTTTTTTCATACAGCTGGGCTCTCAAATAACTCAAGAATAGTGGCCAAATTTAAAGGCAGTGATTCATACAGCTGGGTTCTAGGATAACGCAAAAATAGTGGCCAGTTTTAAAGGCAGAGGTTCATACAGCTGGGTTCTTGGATAACGCAAGAATAGTAGCCAGTTTTAAAGGCAGTGATTCATACAGCTGGGCTCTCAAATAACGCAAAAATAGTGGCCAGTTTTAAAGGCAGTGATTCATACAGCTGGGCTCTCAAATAACGCAAAAATAGTGGCCAGTTTTAAAGGCAGTGATTCATACAGCTGGACTCAAATAACACAAGAATAGTGGCCAGTTTTAAAGGCAGTGGTTCATACAGCTGGGATTTTAGATGTCAGGGAACCAAGCTTCAAGGGCAGTGGTTTATACAGTTTAGATTCATGATTTTCAGTAACCCAGTAAAAGTGGTGATTCTTACAGTTGGGCTACGAGATGTTGGAAAAGCACGAAAAAGTAGCCATCTTTAAGGGCAGTGGTTCATGCGATTCAAATTTGTCACACGACAGGGTAATGCAGTAACTTGTTCTTACCCTGAATAAAGTCCTTTCACTAATGGTGCTGGTACATGAAGATCAAAAATAGGAACTTCATTGTGTGGAGAGTCTTCATAAAATTTCAATGATTGTCTGTAAAGCAAATGCAAAGAAAATCGCCATTTCATTATTTAAATGTACATACTGTGACACTACATTTGAATTAATGTGAATAATTTTAAGATTTTTGCTTTGGAATGCATGCCAAATCTCGCAAACTGCTGGAAATGATATATTAAAACAGTTTGAATGTATAAGGCTGCAGTGGTACATTCATTTGATAATAATTCTGCAACTCCGATGCCGTGATGTGACACCTCTGTACCTACCGAATTAATGATCGTTGATTTGGTTGTGGTAATTTAAGAAATGCTTGTGATCCCACAGTAAGTTCTAGTACATTGTAAAACCTCTGTACTCTTTCTATTTGATCTTCTATCGGTATGGCAGTACTGGTGTAAAAATCTAATTCATTCATCATTATTAATTTTCCCCCTACAAAACAAAAATAATAATTCATGTCACCAATATGCATGCGGGGTGTATTCAGTTGGCTCAAGGAAACACAAAATATACAACTTTTTAGGCCCCACAAACAACTTTTTTGTTAACATCAAAAATACCCACATACCACAATGGGCCTAGTTTGTTTGCACACTTTTGTGCATGGCTCTTAAGATATAGATGTACAGGTTCATGGGCACTCGGAGTGACATTTTTTCTTTTGGTTTTTCTTGTCAATGCCGGAACATACTCACAAATCGATTTTAAAATATAGGAAGCACGAAAGTCCCGAAACTTTGTTTATGTTGATCTTTGATTGACAAGTCAATGTTGACGTTATATGCAAATGAGTTGTTGGCCTCAGTTGGCTGGCCCAAGCGCTATCAACTAGTCTTGCAAACTAAACAAACATACAGTAGTAAATGATAAGTAAACTTTTTCACCCTTAACTCGCAACATGTCGAGAACTTCTAGCCTGGCAGCTTCCAGTGCGGCTGATCTGCACTGGCTCGGAAGATGAATTCTGATTGGCTAAAAAAACAAAAAACTTGTGGCGTTGAATGCACGTTCATTGTCAGTATTGTTATGCAAATTCAAACTAGCTAATCATTTACAACTTTCCGAGCCAGTGCAGATTAGCCCTTCCAGTGGTATACTATTAAATAATTTATTTTTGTTCATGCATTTTTTTCTCCAAAGGCATTTTAAAACTGATGGATACATTTTTCGTTTCGCTGTAACGATCACTGTGCTGAATGGATAAACACCATTGCTGTGCTGTCATCGATAACTAACTTGTGGCAAAATATGCAAATGTAAAATGCTCTGTTAATTAAAAATAAAGAATACCCTGGAAATTACAGAAAAATCGGCAACGAAATGCTGTTTTTTAAAAACCACGGAAAAATCAAGCACTCTGCAAGCCATCTTGGTTACCTGAATCAGAAACCCCCCTTGTCAGCTAGCATACATCATCTTGTAGCGATGATGCAAAGTACGTTGTACGGCCGTGCTCGGCGATCTCAGGTACTAAGGCACTCTATGAACGAGGTATTTCCAGAGGTCTGGGTTCGTTTAATTTTTATCAACCCGTCTCGTCCGTAGTTGAATGAAACCTGTCTTGATTTACAATATTTTATTTTGAGTATGTTCCATTATTCACAATGCTAAGAAATTTCAACAGACTATAGCCAAGACTGTTTGGATAATAAAAAGCAAAAAAAAAATTCACAAGAACCTGCATCTATAACTTAAGACAAATGGACTCGCCAAATGTAAAAAAACTACCAGTAGTGGCTACAGATGTGTAATATAATCACACCCCAGGACTTCATTTTAATGCTTAGTACATATTTCACATAATTGTTCCAAAACCTCAAGAAATCTCTATGAATGATTTAAAACATTAACCTACTCTTGTCTCCTACATTGCTCCTAATTATGTAGGATCATTTCATTGCTGTCAGTTTTGAAATTTCAGCTGCTATGTAAATTTTCTTATTTTTCAAAAGTTACAGTTATGTAATACATTTTCAAATGTCATTATAAAGTTGAAACATGACAGAAAAACACTTTCTCTGTGGAGATGTAAAGAATATGACAATGTGTTGGTGCCATCATATAGAATACAACACTTTGATGAACTGCAAAACTACAAACACTGAATGTCTACAGGGCAATGCGTATTCAGTGTTTGGAAAACTACCTCTTCCTGTGTGGGGTTGGGGTAGCAGGAGGTTTTACTATTAAAAAAGGCCAAGCTGTCTATGGCCTTGCTCACTACGAAAATTATCAAATAAAATGAGCAAATTGTACAGTTTAATGTGTGTATTGAATGTGAAAACATGAGCACTGGTAACCTTTCGACCAGTACAGGCGACTTTCAAAAGTTACTAGTCCTGATGTCTGGCAATAATTTATAGCCAATTTCATACACTGGTGTATTCTTGATCTCATGGCACTTACCAACGAAGTATGTTGTGTAATCTCTTCTGATTTTATCCACTCCTAACTCGACCAATAACTCTAAAGGCTGGCTAGTATCCACTTTACGATTTTCAACTTTCCCTTGATAAGACAATCGAACCTCTTTTGCTAATAATGTTTGATTACTTCGGTGGACCTATCACAATTGAGAAAACATCACTTTTAGGCCAGGAAAAAAAATTTCTGTTTCTTGTTTCATGGATTTTTTTTTTTTTTTTTTCGAAGACTGAGCTAAAATGGGGTAAATTTGAGACAAGTGTGAGTAAAAGCGCATTTTGGAATGCTTTAGAAGAAAAAAAAAAACATTTGAGGCACCATAGTTCAAAATGATGCGTGCCGAAAAGGAGAAACAGAGATTTTTTTTTTCTCAGCCTTACAATCAACCCTCAGATTATGTTACAGTATCAATACAACATGATTTAGGACAATGGTAAATATCGAAATCACATTACACACCATTCATTAAGCTATGTTACATGCGATTGATTCCTTTGCAATTGTGAAGAGTTATTGCTACGGTACCTTGTCAGTTAACGCATCTGTCCTTACCATTGTGATACGTATTTGTAGAATTGTTTTATTAATTGGCTCATTAACATGCATGCAAAACTACCTAAAACCAAAGTCTAGATTTGCTTTACAACAACACACTTTTTACATGGCTTTAAATACTGAAATGGAGATGCTGAATTGCTCAAGTTACAAACATTCAGTTACAAAAATGTAACTCACCCAATTTTGAGAAACTACACCCAATTTTACTAGTAAAAGATAACCAAACTTAGAGTTACGGGAAACATTAAACAAGACAAAAATCTATGTTGCTCACAACTTAAAGTTCTGTTAACTGTTAATTGAACATTGACTTACAATTTGGGCATGGTTTCGCAAATATGGGTGTTGTCATTTTTGTTACTTGATGTTCGCAACTAGAATAATTCAGCATATCAATGAGTTATTTTTGCTTGTCCAGCAAGTTAGTATACTGCCCTCTATAGTTTGGAATTGAACAAAAATCAAAGCAAAAAACTTGGTTAACTGTTAAAGTTGCTATTAACTCATATTCCAGTGAACAGTTAATTGAACACCAAGTTATAATTTGGGCTTGGTTCTAAAATATGGGTGTGGTAATTTTTTGAAAAATCTTGAAAAACAAACATAGAAATAATATTGATAATTAGTCATTCATTGTCAATGATATATTTCCTGTTTGTATTTGGATGCACTTGCAGACACAAAAGGGAGAAGGAATTGAGGCAAAACAAAAACACAAACAATTGGCATGCATATGAAAACCACAGTCTTGCCTTTGTACCAAAATTTTACAAAATCAGTTACGCACGTTTCGACCCCCCCCCCCCCCAAATGGTCAAAGAGTATGAATTAAACCAGCATGGCCACCAGTCGCATTTCAAATCAAACCACAAGACTAACATACATCAATGTCACATTCTATTCATACCAAGTTTGAATGAAATCGAGCTGGGCATACCCAAGAGTAATGGGTAATGTTTTTTTTGGACAAATATTTCTATAAATCAGCAAACAATGTGATTTTTGGCTCATATAAGCTTACTTAACCTTTTCACTACCAGACTTTCTCGCCCAAATTTTTCTGCATTTTTCCAATATTTTCAATATTTCTGGAAAATAATTTGGCTATTTTTGTCCCAAACTTCTGAAGGATCGTGTAGACTATAAACAGAAATATTTTGTGAATCTGTGGTGAAAAAGTTAAGTGCATGCAATACTATACATTGTATAAAAGAGACAATATACTTGTATCAAGAAAGCTTACCATAGGCTGTATATCTCCACACTGCAATGCTGAATGTATAATACCTAATGACTCGATAACTTCTTTATAGCTACCAGCATTACACAATATATTCCACAATTGTTCTGTAAAGTCTAAATCCTCCCTCTCTGGCATCATCTGATTGTGCAGCAGTGATTCAAAGTCCTTTTCTTTGCTACTTTCTTCCAGCCTGGGTTGTTCCTGTTTTTGGAAATACCATTACTGACCTAGGTATTCACGAAAAGCGACAACCGACCTGATGGCCGAAATAGCTGTGGTAATCAAGTCAAGTAATACACAACCATAAGACTGGCTGTTAAGAATGTACCAACTTCATCAAACAAATTGTTTACAAAAATGATGTACACATCAAATATTAAATCAATCGGGCAGATAGTTTTCAAAAATATGAAAATATCATTTTGTACCGAAATTAATAAATCAATAATATCACAAAACTAAAATCTGACAAATCTTGATAAACAAGCCTATTCAGGATACCTACATAAAACGTACTAAAAACAATGGGAATTGTATTTTTCAAGAAGTCACAAATACATGTAGCATTTTTGACTAAAAATTACCAAAATATTCACGACAGATTGACAGCGGAGTTAATGATAGTTGACTAATGACACTTTGTCAATAAAGGACAAAGGCCAAGCAAAATTGCTTTTTATTTTTATTCTGAAATTGTCATTAAATTTGTGATTTATCATGATTATAAAGGGAATTTATTTCCTTAATTTCATCCATTATTTCTAAAATTCTGCAAAAAGCTATGTTGTGAACGTTCAGAAACATGTATATTTTTTCTGCAATATGGAAGAGAACATGTAATTTTTAATATTGTTGATTGATACTGTATTTTGACAAGTACAGTTACATGATATCTTGTTTTGATCATAATTTAGTGGGAGTTAGTTAACATGCCGAAATGCCTACACACTTTATAGGATTCGCAGACAAGCAAGTTTTTTATTTTTATTTTCAGGAGTAAAAGCCACAAACAAGCGACCTGACGGTCAAAATAGCTCTGTTGTCCTAAAAGAAAATTGTAGTAGCCAAGTTGAGAACAAATAAATATAAATACATGTATAATAAATATAATTTTTACCAAAAATAGAGAACTGATCATATACATTAGTACAAAATGAACAAATCTGATATACTTAAATATAACGAAAAAGTTGAAAATAACATTTTGTACCAAGAATGACAAAAATATTCACTAAAAATAGAGAATTAAAGATATCTTCACAAAATGAGCAAATCTGATACCAAGTATCAAAGCAATTGACGTGACTGATGACGGATGGACTACGATGGATAATCACATAAATGAACAGCTCTGCTCTACGATGACAGTAGAGGTAAATGTATATAAATCATCAAATATTTTCAATGGTAACTACATGTAAATGGTTAGTAACAGACTTTTATGTCAAATATAATTAATTGTAATTCATAAATAATCTTTTTTGTTGGAGTTGACGTGTTGAAGTAAAGTTATACAATGCGTATCACTCAGAAATATGAACAAATGAAAGTGGGTGACAACCTCAGCTTATAAAAACAGCAATTGGCACAACTCTACCTTGCTTTTATATTTCACTCCTTTCTTCAGTTCATCAATATATCTGCGAACTTGCTCAGTAAGATTATCTTCTTCATCCTCTGATGTCATTCTAGCCCACTGTATTTCACCCGTTTGCAGACCTTTGTAGATGTTCTGAGAAATAAAATCTTGTGTGACTAAAATCATCTTGAATATGAATGTTGGCGACTTTGGAATGTTTTTACTGTTGCAATGTGTCATGCAGAAAAAAGAAACTATAGCGTCATTTTTGTACTTGTACATATTTAAGTTGACGGAAAAACAAATTAACCTAAATTATGGTTGATTATTATTTCCCTCACAATTTTCCCACAGCTAAACAAAACACATTTTGTAAGGCAGAACACAAAACGTTTCAAGCCCAGTCACACAGCATTGACCTTTTCACCAGACTTTCTTGCCCAAAATTTTCTGCTTCTTTTTTTTTGTATATTCTTTAATTTTTTCGGGAAAAGAATCCATATTTTGGAGCCAACAGACAAAATTTGGGTCATTTTTCAGTTTTTACTCAAAAAATGTGGCTGTTTTTCTACCAATCTTCTGAAGGAAAGTGCAGACAATAAACATGACTAGATTGTGAATTTGTGATGAAAAGAGAGAACTGGTGGTGAAAAGGTCAATGACACCAAATCAAATCTATGTTCTAGGGTTGGGATACATGTACTAAGATTTATATGAATTAATGGTATCTATCCAAGATCCATAGCACCAAGAGAATTTTCCAGACCTTTTCCCAAACTTGCTTGCATTCCCCCCCCCCCCAAAGACATTTTGACTCTTAATTCAGGCCAACATCACCAAAGCTCATCAAAGTTCAGAGAATATGGTAGCTCCCTGCAGAAAACTGGTCTTTCTAAAATGAATTAATAGCTATGACGAAATTTATTTATTAAGATTTTTCAAGTTTTTTTTTATTTTTCCTAAAATTTAAAGACAACTCAAAGGCTTTCCAGACCTCAAAAAATCTAAAGACTTTCAAAGGATTTTCCCAACACTATGGACCCTGTCTATCTATGCCCAATACATTGCTTGACTTACCAAGACAGTACAAAGCTCTCTGTACATTGGGTGAATGATACTTCTTTGATCACCAGGCACAACTTTAACATGCTACATTTGTAAAAAAAGAAGTATGTTATTTATTGTAATAATAATAGTTATAGTTTTCAAAGTAAGGCATTCAAATACTGTAATTTGTGACTTGATTTATTGTCAATATTGGGTTTGGCCAAAAATAGCTTTGCTTTCACATTCAAAAGAGAAACTGATGCAGGTTTTTTTAATTAGTTTTCAAGATAATTCAAAACATCAGCAACAAAATGTACTCTTCAGCTACTGTAAAGTACTTTATTTTCGCTTGGAATTAATTTTCGCTATTTTCGCTGAAGGTATGATTCAGTGATAAATAAAATCCAGCGAATATACGTTTTCTCCTATATTTTACAATAAACTCATCAGAATCAGTGAAAATAAATTCCATACAAAACACTAAAATAATCTTTTCAGCGAAAATTAATTCCAGTACATAATACACATATTAAAGTATGGTGCTTTAAATAGTTTATAATATAGTAGTACTTACCACAGTGGCCGTAGCGTTGACGGACGGCACTTGTAAAACATTAGTGACACTATCCCAAGAACAGTCAATGACTAAACTGCTACAATTTCCTGCATTGCCTGATGACACAGAGAGATCTAGTGCTAGGGATCCAAAGATGTCATACTGTGCAAATCCTTGTGTGGATACCTTGTGCAATGATAAATAACAAATGGTTTTTTAAGCAACAAATTTTAATTTTCGAGTGCAGCAACAACACAATAAGGAACATTCATTTTTAAGCACTGAAAATGTACTACATGGACTACGAATAATTCTGGCATTAACCTTTTCACCATCAGACTTCCTCGTCCCAATTTTTCTGAACTTTTTTCTAATGCTCTTCAATATTTCTGGAAATGAACCGTAATTTTGGAGCCAACAGACAAGATTTGAGTAAATTTTCATTTTTTACTCAGAAAAATGGCTATCCCCGGTATTTTTGTCCCAAATTTCTGGAAGAAAGTGTCGCTGGATGCAGCAAGAACACTAAATATTACCGATAAATATGACAAATCAGAGACCGGTACCAGAAAGAGGCTGCATATCAGTTTCAGTGCACCAACTTCATTACTGTTCGATTACGTTCTTCTTTTGGAGTTTTCACGAGCTCAAGAGTGTAGTTTTTTGTATTGTTCTAAACTTTAGTCAGTTGACAATAAACGGTGTTAGACGAGTTACATACTACGAGACGTTGCGTTATCCATAATTCTACAAATTGAACCTGCTCGGCGACGCCTGATAAAATACAGCTCAGTCGTCAAGCCACAGAAAGTGCAGTTCATGAACAGGACTATTTTGTGAATTTGTGATGAAAATGGAACAGGTGTTGAAAAGGTTAATATTAAATCGTACTTACATTATGAGAGTCACTAAAACGTTTATGTTCCCCTATCAAATATTCAAGAGAAGGTAAAGCATGTTTATCCGCAATTGGACCTAGTAATAGTAATAGTAATAAAAAGATGTGTATAATCAACACCTGTAGCACAATATCATGAGATAAGAATATTTTTGTATAGTAAATGCATTAATTATTCACTGGATTTTATCGCTATTTTTCGCTGATAAGAAGAAATACGCTAAATTTAATCTATGTGAAAATGTAATACAACAATAAATTGTTTCCTTGTCAAATTCGTAAAATTAAAACACAGTGAATATGCTAAAAACATAAAAATAATGTAAATAAAAATCAGTGGAAAAAAATAGTTTTACAGTAATAGATATACATTCACTTCGATACTCATGTACTGGTATGTAGAAACAGGACACACAAGATCGTGGTGTCTTCAAATTATTTTTTTTCTCTGAAAAATTGGTGTTTTGACATTGAACTATAAAAAAAGAAATTCAAATTCAAAATAAAATCATTTGGTTTTTGCAGTAGATGTTTGATCTGCGTCTTTCATGCAATACGCAACATCTTGCAATGAATGAAACCCCCTATTATAAAATTACATGGCAGTTCACAAATTCAATGTATGCGATGATGCATGTATGACTACTAATTGTAGTTGTGGGTCCATAGCCTTTCGGTTTTGGTTTTGGTGACAGTTTAATAAGCATTATCAATTGATGTTAGCTTCGATGGTGTGATGCGAGAAAATATTCTGTTTTTGTCAACATTTAGTAGCGATGCCATTTGGCGTCTCACGTTTGTGTTACACGAGTCTATTTGAGCAACCATAGCTATTCTGGGTCAATAAAAATAGCAAATTTAATGACACAAAATCAGAAATGACTAAAATACCATCACAATGACTAAAAGGCCGACACAAGAAGAGCTATGGACTCACAGCTATACTGAATGAATAATTGTACATGTACACCCTGTATCAGCCAAGTTTGCACTTGTGTTAGACCTACACCTACACTGAACTTTTTTAACAGAATAAAACACAGCAGTTGACCATATTGATACTGCAAGCCTACTACGGTATCTAGAGTTTGTTAAGGAATATGTTAATAAATGTACTTACCAGTACATGTGACTTTAAAATTTGATATTCCAATAGTTTTTCCTGACTTAGATGTTTCCACTTTACTTCCAATGAAAGATGCATATTCTGGACCCTTCCCATCACATGCAATCCATATTGGTAACACTGAGGTTTCATTGTTGTTACCCATGTATGGGTTGTAAGCAGTTGCATAAAATGATAAAATACGCCTAAAAAACAATGAAATATTTGTGATTTTCATTTGAAGGGCGCATTGGATTGTGGGAAAATGAATGTTTATCAACACAAATGCTGTACATGCGCAGCACGTCGTCCACCGCCCTGCAATAATATTATTGATAGATTTGAATACCATTCGCATTCTTTCCATGTGATACTATACAAGTGATATATTGTATTCTGTTATTGCCAAAAAAAACAACACTAAAATACCACAATAATACATACCAAGGCACTATTCATTGTTCTTTATTGCCACACAAAGGCATTACAATGCCACATATAGGAAGGGCAATGACACGTGGAAGAGCAATAATGCCACACAAGAGATGATAGGGCAATAACATATAATCAAAATGGCTACCGTCTTGTAAACAGTGTGTATTTTATGCTCTCTGAAAAAAAGCTGTAAAACAACTTTTCAAAACTGATTATATCCTGTGAAAACTCATCTTAAAGACCATGAAGGTTTGCTGACATCCATAAGGAACTTATTGTGCTGGATTCTCCTTCTGATGACAAGTTGGAAACACTAAACTAAACCGGTGTGTAGAGTCTTTGTTTCAATGTGTTAAGGGTGGTCAAGGTCACAGAGGAAAAATATACTCACTTAAGAAACTAAGGGAAGACTGGACAACTAAGGAAAGACTGGACGACACAACTACAGACTATACTGATCAACTG